TAAGAAAGTATTAAAAACTACTCTCCTATGTTTATTTAAATGGTACTTCATAAATAATGATATATCTGTATCGTTAATTTAGAATCTCTAAATTGTACCCATCTAGGATCATTAATTACACCATTTTTAGATTTGTAACCAAAAAAAAACTTTTAGCCAGTAAAATGGGCCTGGGGAATTCCGGACTTTTCGTCTTTTTTTCTTATTAACAGATTCAACACACCGAGGCTACAATTATCAAGTAATTTAGGGATTCCCCCGTTTCAAATCTCTTTAATACAAACAAAATTTCGGTGTTATTTTTACTTTTTTAAGGTTTTGGCCAACGACCAGAAAATTACTGAAATTACATCAGTACAGATGCCTTCTCTGTTACAAGGGCTGAAACGTGTAACATTCAACATAGGAACAAATGGTGTGAAACTCAGAAGACTTGATGTCCAAAGATAAAAAAGAATATGCTGTGTTGGGAAGTACACAAACATAAAAGTCTTCAACAAATTAAAACACCGATTTAAACGAAATTTACTTTCGACTTTATTTACATCATTCCTCAATAACCCAACAGCAGTATTGAATTTTGTTATCTTTTGAAAGCACTGTATTGATGATAGCAGGCCTAAAATGCATGTAGGACCTGTTATTCATGTTGCTGTGTTTTAGGTTATTTCGAATAGAATTTGTAAAAAAACAGGCAAATACAAATAACGATTTCTTAAAACTTAATGATTTTACCTCTCCTTGACAGGATTTTGTTTTCAGTAACTTTAATATATGAATACTTAAAACGAAATATTTCATTTCTTCGTCAAATTATGATATATTTACAACCGCAAATTTATTTTACAGTGCACACAAAGGAAAGGTCGCCATGAATTAAGTCAAGCAGTTTTATTTCTTACTTTTTATTTGTAAAATATTGAATGAAGTAATTACATAACGCATGACGCTTTTATCATTAATGAAACCCGTTCGTAAAAAACGATACATTTATTTTTGTTTTTTCACATTTTCGTTTAATATAAACATCTGATTCTGTCAAACTGGTCTACATTGCTTTTTGTAACCGCCCGGTAGTTAAAGAAGGGACCAAAAGCTACCATTTTCTTTTTCCCTTATAACTCCGTTCCTTTCGATAGTTTTAAATTCCGTCGGATAAATCTTTATGTTACTTTACCACTAATTCTTGTGTTTGCTTAAAGACAATTTCTGTATCTTCTCTTAAGTTTGGTTAATTAAAACTACTGCACGAGATTATTCCAAGATAAATGGCACATGTCTAGCGACTTTATGTGACGTGATCAAAATGAGAGAAAAATATGTTTACATTAAAAGTGTCATTTGAGCTTTTGATTTGACATCTTATTACTTAAATTATTGAATATAACTTTTGTCATTTTCTCAGCTTTTTTCATTAACTACAATTATATTTAATACACTTTTCAATAGCTTTTTATTTATGTAGGATATACAGTCAATGAGTATGTATTTGGAATTGTATAAGTTTGCTAAGAATAAAAAGCATATTATTTTTAAAATCAATAAACCGTTAATGGATTACTTAAACATTTGTTACATATTTTTGAAATTCTCGAAAATAAGAAATGATAAAATTGCAATCGGGAGTAAAGAAAGTATGTTTTTTCTATCCTTTCATGAAGAAGAATTTGGAATATTGTGCTCGTTTACTAGTATAATAATTTATAGCTAAGTTTTGACCTATATTGACATTTTGTTTGTTTATTTGTTTGTTTCATTTTACGCCCTTTGTCAACAGTATTTCAGTCATATAGGCGGGTAGTTTCCTAACCATCGTTCCTAGAGAGTTACTCTAGTACTAGACTACCTTCCTCCGTTCTAAACTACCAATGCATCTCCCGGAGATCGAGCCCACGCCAGAGAGGTAACTGGATTAGAAGTCATCATCTCTCAGCCCTCGACCATGAAGGCAGTCTATATTGACATATTGCATATTGCATTTTTTAGAGTGCCAGAATGAATGTGACTATACTCTTTCTTAATATTTAAATCATTATTGATATGTTGTTGGTGTTGTTCTTGTTGTTTTATACTGAATAATATGTTTATTTTTCTTTTTCAGTACAAAAATTGTTTATATATATTGTATTTCTAACTTTTTGTCTCTGACTTGATGTCATTAAACATTTTTCTGAGATCTATTTCCTCGTATCCCAAGATTTTCTTTGGTTAATGCACATACTGGTTTCTGACCGATCATAAATCTGAGATGTGAGTGCGAGATTAGAAAATTTCTTTAACACCTCCAACCCTTACGTGAATAAGGAAGCTATTCGTTGCGATTGTGATTTTATAAAATATAATTATGTCCTTTTTAAATTAAATTGTAAGTCTTTGGTAATTTTTCTGCTGTTTTTACTAAAATTATTAAACGTTTTATTAAAAGAGGTTATGACCCTACTATTTTAAGACATACTGCATGTTTAGTGTTCAACCCTTTTACAATTGGACACTACGCTTTCCTCTTTTGATTGCATCTGACGGACCAAGTGGGAGACTCTATGATGGATAGTTCGTAAAGCCCTTTGGGACTGAATTGTCTTAATGTTCGTCTTCTGCCTTGCTTCGTCGGGCCCTTGTAGGTGTTTTTCTTGTTTTCCTTTAAGACATTGAGTACTTTTTGTTATGGTCATTGGGTTTACTTTTATATGTTTCTACATGATCATTTTAGTGTTTTACTTATTTAACCTTTTGTAACCATGACAACTGTTAGAATTTCACTTGGCGGGGATTCATTTTATTTACACTGTCTCGTTTATAGGAACATGGTGGGCTAAGAGCGAGGTTTGGTGCACCATTAACCGGTTAAACTCCCCAGCAGTCATTATTATGCTGCTGACCGTTCCAAGGCGGCGCCCCACTGTGTTCCTCAGATGTATGTCTATGTTGTTTCATACTGTTTTGGTGACACTTTTGCTTGTGTCCCTTGTTGTTTTCTCGTCTACGGTAAGTATCTTCCCCATTGCTCTAGTTTTTATTTTCTTTGATTAACCCCCCCCCTTCCCCCCGGTCTCCTGTCCCCTTCCCCTTTGTGGGCCTATTATTATTTTCTTTGAATTCCTAATCAGTTACAAATTATTTATCATTTATTGATTAACGTGTCGTTGCCCTGTCCTTTTTATGTTTGGGGTCCGCCTGGGCTCCTTGCCATTGGTTCTTGTTGCTGGGTCATATGGGGGTTGCGTTCATTGAACGCCGCCTTTCCTTGTTGATCTTGTTTTTCATATTTTGGTGAACAAATCGGATATTTGTTTGATTCCGAAGAAAGACATCATATAAAATACTTAATCTTTCAAGTTATAAATGGTAAAAGTTGTTGAATATTTTTAATTATTTCTTATGTTTGTGTTGAAATATATGTGCCATATTCTATATAGATAACATTGTCACAGAAGGTACACCGATGTACAAGATTGATACATAAAGAAAACAGTACATATTAGTTTAAGATATATGAACATTTTAGCAACAATACATTGAGTGGAAATATTAGACAAAATGATTCTTAAGAACTAAATTCCAAAATTAAAGGAGAAGATAATCAAAACACGAAATTTACATGTACTTAAATTTGTGTATATTGCTTAGGATTGATTTTCGTTTTCTATAACTGTAAATAAAGTTCTAGATTAAATTTTTGTAGTGCTAATATAACTTTGTTGTTTTCTAATGTCATTTTCGTAATTTTAATGTTTAAACGAGGGCTCTGCCCAGTAGATGGTTAGTATGTTCTGCTTTTAGCGCTGAGTTAGTTATACCTACGGTCATGTTTAAAAAAGTTAAAAATTGCTGTAACGTACCAGAATGGATTGTCATTGTTGGTATATAAAATAGAGAAAAACAGAATCCCTAAAGAAAGCCCAACACTGCAAAATTGTAAAATGTTGCAGGCTCGGTTTGATTGAGTCTGTTAATGGACGGTACTGGAAATTGCAAGTTACCGTCCACGCCCCCTTGCACCGGCTTATTAGAAGTATGTAAAATAGTAAAGTGGTATGCTGGTATTCAAGCAAATCGTGAACCGTTTGAGATTTGAAATAAAACATGGTTGATGTTTGAATAGAGAAGGTTTATCCGATGAACAAGAACGTATATCGTTTATGAGGCAAGATTCACATTTGCAGCGAACCGGATAATTTATCTCCATCCCGACATCAATCATGTATTCGATTTATTCTGCTAAATTATGTTTATAATCATTATCATGGTTTAAGCTTTAACGATAGTTTTATTTGTATATTTCATTTCGATAAACATATTTTAGTTTGATCGAATTACTTTCCTCAATTTGTTCCAGTAATTTGCAACAAAAACAGCAACATAAAATATTTTAGTTTGTATACATACACATTGCTTTAACTTTTGACTTAATGACTGAAGATAGCTTAGTTTCTCCAACAACAGACATTTTCACAAACAATCTTACGACATTTTTCATTACATACAAGCACATACTATTGACAATATAAGGATACCTGATGTCGACTTTTTAAAACTTAAATTATTACATGGAAGTCATTCGAATATGAGATCTTTTTGGTCAAATGGTTCATCAGGCAATGACATCGAATGACAATGCAAAAAGCTTTTGGATTTTATCGTTTGAAGCAATTGAACGAAAATATGTTTGTATCTTCATTTTTGACTGTATTTGTAGTCTCACTTATTCATTATACGACAGCTGTCCGAATAAGTCATGTACAACAGAGTTTGAATACAATTACCTGATCAGAGATGCATCAGTACTAAAGGTGTAGTACTTTAATACCAGTACAAGTATTTGCCAAGTTATGCAGTACCATTTTCAGTACCAGTACTTGAATTCAATTCTGTACTGCAGTACCAGTACTTTTGTTAGGAAATAAGTATCAGTACCAGTACTTTTATATATTCATCATAGTTTGAATAAAAACACACAAAAATAACATGTTATGTATATTTACATATTTTAAAGACACATTTTAAACAGGCATTTCCATTTCACATGTGTACTCTTCTCATGAAAGCATTATTCAGCAAAATATAAATTTATATATATATTTATAAGTTACTTCAAAGTCAACATTACATTTTTAAGATTTTATAATGATCTAACCTACTTTTTAACAAGCAATATTTACAACATATCATATTTATGTCATATCTTATTGTTTAGTAACCAGTTAACTGTAATAAAAATGCAATCATCTTTCATTTAAAACACAACAGTCTTTTTTTTTTGCCTTTTACGGGTCTGATCTATTTATACCAAAGTAAAGAACATTTTTTTATGATGCAAACAATATCACTTGAAATAGGATTATTTAGAATAGCGCTTTGCGTGGTTTGTGTTTCATTGTACTTGATTATAACTCAAATTCAGTTCAACAAATATGCATGATTTATATTAAGACTACAAAAATAAATGTTGCTTCATTAAGAATCAATCCCTTTTGATAACAGTTTGTGATTGCTTATACTAGTTACACGTACAAACTTGACCACAAATAAATACATAATTCCCCTAAACTAAAATTTTATGTAATGTAAAGCTCTTATAACTTAGTTTTCTATAGTTATGAGTTAGATCCGAAAACGTACTTTTTCACAAATATAAAATAATATATGAAAATCATATCTTCACTTTATGAGAAAAACTGATGACATTTTGGTAATGCATTAGCAGTAGTAAAGCTTATTTCAGTATCAGTACCAGTACTTGCAAAATCAAAGCATTACGTACTGCAGTTCATGTACAAGTTAAGCAGCTCTGCCACCGATAATCTATAATGAAATTGATCGTAATAAGAGTCAATACAATGCGGTCCACAATCCAACGTCATACTCACGTTATTTAACACGAAGTAACAGTATTCGGCGTTTCAATGTATCACCTCTGTATTGGATGTACTTTAAATGTTAAGAAACCTACCTATGTGAAAAATACGCAAATTGCCTGAAAACTCAATATTATTATAAAAAAAACTTATAGAAGATCGTACAGGACATCATTCGACCCATATTTAAGGTACTTTGGGCTCTCTTTAAGAACACATTGCCAATTTGTCCTGGATATTCGGCAGTCATTTAACAGACGGGCAGACAGACAGACACATAACTTTATTTCACTCAGGTATCTCAAAGTTTACAACATGAGGGTTATCATACATTGTAGATATAATTGATTCCTGTATAAAAGGCAGGTATATAACATGAATTATACAATAGATATATATGAGTATCCATCCGATTGTTGGGGAACCCTTAACAAAAATGCTGCTCTACACACACAAAATACCTACATGCATATATATTGTTTACCATCACTAGTTAAGGAACGAAGAATGAAGCTCAAATATATCATTGTAGGGAAAAATAACAACAATAGAGAGAAAAATCTTCAAAACATAAGAAAATGTTCGCTCAAAGGTATGCCGCAGCATTCTACGTTGTAAATCTAAAACTAAAAGTAAGAGCTCGTGAAAATTTGCATTCACACAATAACATCGCGTTTACAATCATTGAACAAATGAATTTTCTGGACGGTCATTGTGATTTATAACTTGAGGCTGGTAACGGAAAGTGCTGTTTTACTGTCAGGAATAATGACTTCTTCACGAAAGACCATTCTAAGAAATTGTCAATTACCACTTCAGTGTTTACACTATGAATGTGTCAAAATAAGGCTTTACAACCTCTTAGAATGATACGTTATTCGTACAGCATGACAGTGTATTTGACTATCTAACAAGAAGTATCCTTTAAAACGATACCCGGCCGAAGTAAAGCTGTTTAACATGAAAAAATAAGGTTATTTTTAAGTTTTCGATGCAAATAGAAATGTCAGAACAATGCTTGCATAATAATGACAAAATAAGTTTTTCTTCTAAACATTGAAATTAAATTATATCATATTGATATTGTTAATTTTTCAAAGAAGAACAACTTCTATTTAAAAAGTCTCTTTTACTTGTTTTACGTTTGACTTTATAAATTTTGTAATCATTTACAAATAAATCTAAAAGTTAAAGAAATATCCTCTTTTTATTTTAGAACTATCCTATACATTTTGTTTATAGTGGCAAAACCATCCCTAACATTTTAACATAGAGCTTTCCTTAAAAAGTTAGAGAATGGTAAGAACTATCCTTTTCATTTTATTTTAGAACGGTTAGAACTGTCCTTTACATTTTATTTTAGAATGACCAATGAGATTCACTGATTTCAGTTTGTAATTTGAAAATGACCAATGAACATTCTTCTTATATTCAGTTCTTCCCTGTTAATTTTACAGGAAGTCAAACTGATGACAGACAGTCGTCGTCCGAAAAAAATTCTTTGTTAAAATTTGTATGATAAATCGCCATTTTGATATAGAGAACGATGACAGTTATAAGAAAGGTAAAGCATAAATCTTGATAGAAATGATTGAAAGCTTTTTTTTTAGATTAATTACACAATGACATGACGAAGTAACTAGTTAAAGGAATTTAACTGAGGTTAAAAAGCCCAGTTTAAGGTAGACCACCTATACTATACTATACTTTACTATAAAGAACTGTAAAATGGGCAACATTGGGCAGTTATATACCTTAAAGGTCACCTGTATGCAAAATGAAAACACAATTTTCGTGTGGTTTATGAATTAAGGACATTTTTCTGAACTTAGAATGGCTCTTTTTCAGAAATGGGAAACTCTAAATAATCTATAATATCATCATAATGAATTAGAGAAAATAAGAATGTCCAAAACGACAAAATTAAAAATGTTGCAGGCTGGATTTGATTGAGCCTGTTCATGCTCGGTACTGTGAAATGCAAACTACCGTACACGCCCCCTAAGATTGGCTTAAACAGAATTCAACATTTAAACACGAAAATGGTAAATTTTACTTTTTCAACCATTTTTGCGAAGTTGCAGGAATCCACACCACTTTTAAATACTTACACCACCGTGTGAAAGATGAAAAGGAAAGTTCATTGTTACCATAAACACGACATATCTCATAAAATATGTCTTCCGCCTGTATACCAAGACTACAGCGGCTCTTTGTTCTCGGTACCGTTGACCTAGTGGTTAAGGCGTCCGCCTTCGGATCGGAAGCTCGAAGGTTCGAGCCTCACGGGGAGCGTAATTGATTGATAATTTTTTCTCGTGGGACTCGTTCCGAAATGACCGCTTCGTGAGCCGCGAGGTAGTTAAAATGAATGGTTACCGATTTCTATCCGCCTGGCGCCTGGAAAAGTGGTAGGAGTTGGGAGGTACGTGGTATGCAAAGAAAATGTGCTGCATAAGTCGGAAACGACTTGACCTTAGGTAGGGGTGACACTATGATAAACAAGACCTTCACATTTTTATAAGACCGTATTTGTAAAGTGATAGGAGACATTTTCCCAATTATTTTAGCATTACTATACACGAGGAGATGACGTTCATTGTGATATTACCAAAGCTAGACTGGACTGATTTACAAATAAACACGATTTACACGACCATCTATGCGGTACATGTACATGTAGTGCGTGAAAAACGTGGTAAAATGCGAGATTTTGGCCTAGTTGTATTCATATTTGAACACCCCTCGTAGTGTCAATGAGAAACGTTATTAACATTATTTTGAAATATCACATTCAGGGACGCAATATTTGCTTGTAGTTGTTTCTAGTTTGAATTACCGTTTTTAATTATATATCAATAGCTACTTTAACAATTATAATTGAAATATACGAATGAAACTAAGTCTAAAAATCCAGTCAGTGAGCATTAGGATTTAAATTGACTGTACTCACCTTAAGGTGATTCCGCTTTGTCAGCCATGTTTGTTTTCACAAAGTCTGTCCAAAGTGAAAGTAGGCCAAAATTCATATAACAACAAAGCTCACATTGTTATATGATGAGCCATTTGCAAGTACACTTCCAGTTCTACATTTTAAAGACTATTTTAAACAAAAATAAAAATGATAACAATAAGAAAATTTACCTTGAATGTGCTACATTTCTGAAGACCATAAACATTCTGTCGCAAGTTTTATGCACATTTCATGAATGGCAAAATCCTTTTTAAAGTCTTGTTTTAGTGCCTACAAAAAAGCTATTTTTTGCAGAAAAATATCACAAAAACTTTAAAAACATAAATCTTAGGAAAGTAGTTTATCTGACCTTGAAAAAACATGGCCACCATGACATGTGTAAAAAAGTAGTACCATGAAAATAAACATCATTTACCTATTTCTTGTGTACATGACAAACAGAGACACTTCACTGTTACACATAAAAAATGTTAGATTTTAAAGTTTGATTGTGTTTTTATTTTAATTGTAGTTCATAAGGCTATAAATGATGATTGTTTTCTTGCACTACTTTTTTACAAAAAATAATGGAGGCCATGTGCTTAGAAGGACATGAGATACAGATTTATTTGGAGTTAGGTTTTGAAAGATTTTTGTATTTGCTGCAAAAGATAGCTTTTGTAGGCACTAAAACAGACTTTAAAAAGGATTTTGCCATTCATGAAATGTGCATAAAACTTTGCAACAGAATGCTTTTGGTCTTCAGAAATGTAGCACATTCAAGGTAAATATTCTTATTGTTATCATTTGTATTTCTGTTTTAAATAGTCTTTAAAACATAGAACTGGAAGTTTACTTTCAAGTGTTTCATCATTTTACATTGTAATCTTTGTTGTTATATGAATTTTGACCTACTTTCACTTTGGACAGACTTGGTGAAAACAAATATGGCCGACAAAGCAGAATCACCTTAATAACATAAAACAAAGTATATTCAGTTATTAAAATAAATAACTTCCATCTATTTAGTAACGCATGAACATATTGCTGCTGACTAGCCGTGTAAAACCTGCCACTCCACTTTCATTCACACGTAAGAAAAGTAAGCACTAAAATATGTTCACTCATATTTCTACAACAAATAATTATTCAATTTATGAAATACTTGTGCAATTCAGAAGATATACACCTCACTAGATTGAATTTATCGGAGTATCTACACTTAATATATCATATGTTTCTTTATCAGCACGTGACTTACTCTGTAATGATGTATACACATCTCCCGGTTCAACCAGATCTGTACGCTGCCGTTCGCCACTGATACATGTTGAATTGGCTATGTTTGTATATATCGGTGCGTTCAGTCTTGAAAGATATAAACATAGAACAAATTTAATATGATTTTACGTACCCGAACATTCTAAAACATTGATTATTTACTTATTCATTTCATATTACTAAGTTCTTTTTGTACGAACATCACAACACTGTTTTTGTAACTTAAAACAATATAGATATAAATTTCAGTTGACAGTTAATATCATTGTTATGATATATTCAATATAATATCAATTAACATATGAATGATGGATACATATGTCATTTTTGACATGTTATGTATTTATGATGAGTTCGTACTGATAAAAGTTCCAGAAGGAGTCCGTTTGAATATGTCCTGAACGCTGGATACGATGTGACGTCAATACATATGTCACATGATCTATGTGGGTAACTCATTGACGTCAATATATGAAGTAATGTTTTTATCTAAAGGGTCATGTGACATTTTTCGGCTTGTCAAATATTTTTTACAGACGCCACCTGTATGTACAATGGCATATAGAAATTATCCATCAGCAGGGATAGAACCCAGAATCATTTAATAAATATAATTCCTATGATCAACGAAAAACATTATAGTCATAAATGTTACGTATAAATAACTTTGAAAGACATATGATCTACGGTGAACAACTCTAACTATCTTGAGTGCGGATTTGGGTACTTGTATCATTAATATTCTGAACGACCGTGTGTAACATTAATAAATGTTTTAAATTAGACGTTATTCAATTACGTTCAATCGTGTAAGAGGTCACACTCTGGATTATTCCTGGAACAAACCAGTACTGAGTAATTAGCGCAAAGTTTCTTGCTAAAGAAACAACGGCTTGCTCCTGACTGGGTTTGAACGTTAATGGTATCACATGATCTACCGGTTTTCTCCTGATACAACCTATCCTGACCATTAAAAACCTTTACAACTAAAGGTATATTTAGATCTACTATATATGTGTATATACTACTACTTGGAATACATCATGACAAAATGTTTTTGGAAATAAGCAGGCTATCCCTGCCTTTCATAGCAATACGTAATGGATGTTGTTTTCTTTTTTAAAATAACGGAACAATAAAAAGTTCCTTTACATGATCTTTATTTGAATGTTCACTAATCGTTTTCTTTCTAAAAATGGTTAGAATTAAATAAAACAAAAAATAATTTTGGAATTGAAATTCTGGAAACTGTTACTTACTGAATTGGCTCACAAGAGATGGTTTCCTCTGCAATGCAATGATAAGAATTACTTAGCTCAAGTTTGATATCAACCAGTATAAGATAATTACTGTACAGTCTCTGTTTAAATTCAAAATAAACATTTTATGAGTACACAGAGAAGATGTGTTATATTTTTTAACTCAACACATCATAGCTTAACAAAATATGAATTCATAAGCTCATTTAAAATGTCATTTCCTTAAGGGACAGCTAATTTAACTTGCGCCGAGAAGGGAAAATAATGTTTTCACGTACCTTCTGAAAGTGTCGATGGTAGTTTGTCCTTCAACATATTAACACTTGTGTGTTGTGGGGTCAATGCAACATTTTATGAAATCTTTGACATCTTTTAGACAGAAAATTTACAGTTCTAATTATAAATGAACGTAATGTAAGGCTTTGATTTAAATTTAATTAATGACTAGAGTATGTAAATGAATAAAAGTAAAAGTAAAGAAACTTACTTTTGTTTTCTTCTTTTCGTTTCATTAATATTGTTAAATAACCGGCATAAGTTGCGAGCAATATTATTATTATACCAAGGACAATTCCTGTTATAATTGTTTGTATATTATTGTTGTCACACTGGTTGCAATCACTCTTTGCTCCAGAAACATCGGATTTACCTGAAATGAATATGAAATATTTGTGGTGTCCTTTTCCGATATGCATTACATATTTACAAACAGAACAGAAGCTTTAACAGCAAACAGCTCATCGTCATAACAATATAACTATACCTACGATTGATATACTAAGTAAATTATCAATAAACGTTATATCAAAATTATCTAAATTCAACTGTTGAGAGTGATTTGAGTAAGCATCTTATCACAGTACATCATTATATCATTCATAGGAATACTATGACATATAATTATAACAAAAAGCAGGAAGATTAAATTAATTGCAAATAATTAAGTTATTTGAAATAGGTTTTTAACTGATTTTTAAAGAATAAAGAGGACTTAGTTTCCTTTAATTAAATTTATTTGTATCATAATTAATTTGAAGCTAAAACGTTTCAAATAGCGGTTGCATCCCCTATACCTTGATTATATTTTGCAATTAATAGAAACGATCAAATAAATTATCAAACCAGCAAGTTTTTTTTTTATATTGATACTTAAATATTAAAGACTTCTAAACAATTAAAAAATCGAATTTATACAGAAGAATGACTCTAAATTAAATTTGTACCTTAGCACAAATTCATTAAACAAAATAATTTAAATGTCACTTTTAAAAAAGAAGATCATAAGAAAACAACACATGTCAATCTCGAGAATGTTATTTTAGTTCAAGGGTTAATGATATTCACTATTTCCCCGAGACACATGCGTTTCTTGTTTTATTATACCGAAACACCATTCATTTTTTATCAGGGTAGATAACTAGAACATCACGTGTTTTAATGTCAAAATAGATTAGAGCTACTCGCACTTTGGGAATATTGATGGTGATATTCATTGCCAGGATGAGCAATCGAAATAACACCAGGTGGCGTCACATTAAGCTATATACTGTATAATAAAAAGTTAACGTGATGTATAATAATAAATTATACTTACTTCTATGGATATGTTCAATCGTCCATGATTTATTAGATCCAATGCCGTTATAAAGTAAAAGGGTGTAGTTCACAAAGTCTGATTCATCTTCATTATTTATCTGAAGCTGGGCTAGGTAACCGTCTAACCCCACTTCTTGCCAATAAAACTCTGCCTTAACATATCCTTTAATGATTAAGACTGTGTGTTTGCTTGAGTTTGATACAGTAGAACCATTCTCAAACTGAAACTGTACAACTTGAGGAGGGGGATAACTGTAGAAAGGCACTGTGATCAAAGTTGTGAGTCCAACTTTTCCAAAGAATGTTCTTTCATTATCCTTTAGCAGCAGTTTTGGTGACACTGAAAATATAAGTAAAATTTGTGTTGTTTTCTAATTTTTATGTATAATTTCTATAAAAAGCATGTTTAGTCATATTATTTACTTTTGTCTATTAATTGTATAAATTGTAGACTGTCATTGATTGAATAGCTTGTTAACATCCTACGGATATCTCTGAATAACATACAGATCATCTTTTTCTGGGGTGTACCTTTATGTGTCGCATTAATTTGTTTTGTAACATTTGAATCTGTCTTTAATTCGTTATTTTCAAATTTGATCGTCAAATCGGGACAATGTGAAATATGTCTACAATGTATACCATGAAACAATGATAACATTTATTACAACTAACCTCTAATTATGACAGTACTGTTTCCACTTTGGTACAGCTGTTGATGTTTTCTGTCCGGAATACCGTTGCTGGCATGGCAAGTATACGTACCACTGTCTTGAAGTTGTACGTTTTGTAATTCCATGACACCATTGTTTGAAATATTATGCTTGTTAGGAATAACAACATTTCCCCATTTCTGTGTAAACGATTTAAAATGATAATCCGCAGGCCTTCCTTTAGGTTTGCATTTAATAGACAATGTCATGTTTTCTGTAGGCTTTGAACTGATGTCAACAGTGACATCTGGTGCATCTGAAAAAAATATTTGTTCCTGACTGCATCACAACTTTTACACAGGCAGCATACAGATGTCATGTAATAAAAAGATAAATAAAACAGTCACTTAAAGGTCTGAAGTTTCCCGTCGAATTAACCAATTGCATGAGAAATATCTTGTACGGTTTTAGAAAGAAACCAATGACGCTGTCATGAATGTGTTGGTTCGTGATTGTCTACAATGGGTAAATTTTCGTAAATATTTCAAGTACTGATTAAATCAATATAAATGTATCATTTGGATATTTTTTTATAAAACATTTATATAAAAAGTGTGATAAGAAGTATTAGTGATTTTATATGAACATTTATATGATAATAATATTTTGTTTTAGAACAATCTGTTATCTGCTAAATATAGATAGGAAATATAGGATTATTTACCTCACACTTACCATCAACGATTTTATATAATTCGTTCATGGTTGTTGTCATAAATACTATCAACATAATTATTTATGATATTACTGACTTCATTAAGGACTATTGTGTTTAAATTATACTTATCTCTTTAAAATAACTTACAGTTCACATACACTTCAACTTTCTCTACAGTTGTAAAGTTATGACTAGGATAGCGAGATGATGTTGCTGTAGCTACACATGTGTAGTTACCATGGTTCGTTCTGTCTATATCAACAACTGACAAAGTAGGACCTACAGACTGTTGTCCTGGCCAGCTCACTGTTGGTGTTGGGTTTCCGGAAGCATTGCATGTTACAGACAACGATTCACCTTCATTTCTTGTTATGATAGTTGATGGTTTCTCACCAACTATTATTTGCAGTCTTGGAGAATCTGTAATTGCTTCATTTTTAAGTAATCAAAGCTTTTATTCCTTCAAAATTTATATGTTTCATTTCTTATCCGAAATGGAAAATGATAACATTGCCAGATAAGAGAAATATGAGGCCTGTAATTTGCAATCTTTCTTTAAACTAATCCTGGTGAAAGACGAACGAGATATTTAAAAGTGTCTTTTATTTCTTGAGCTCCAATTTACTTATAAGGAATCTATAGTAACGAAAAAAATTAATATAACAATTTGTTAAAAACAAATTCTTTAGAGATACCTATAGATTTACTTTTTTGGATTGAATGCGGACTATATATTTATAACTTTCTTTTGTGTAAATATAATTTTTAGCTGACAATTTACTAGATTTCTATCAACTTGATAATTATGTAAGATTAGTTTAGTAACCTTAGTTTTCTTGTATCAGCACAATCTGCAGTTCCATATCTTGTGAACCATGTAATCAAATCATGTTGTGGTTAGTAACAAATTCAGTTTACTAAGTTAAAAAAAACATACTTACATTCAACCTGTAGAGGAACTTGTTCAGATTGTAAGGTAAGACCCTTCTGTTGTGTAAACAAGTTCTTCAACTGACATTTTATAGGACTTTGATTAACTTGATATGTAAGTTTCGGCAACTTTAATATTCTTGAATCAGCAACATCAGGTGTTCCATACTGTGTGAACCATGTTGCTGTAGCTGTAGGATTACCATTATCAGATGATGAACAATAAATACTCTTTCCTGTCTGACCTTCTAGAAATGGAAAGTTGCTGGTTGAAATCAATGGCGATGATGGAGGCCCTGAAACAAATATCTTATTATTGAACAAATAACATTTATCAAATCACATGTTTTACAAGTAAATGAAAAACCGTTCTCCCTCATGTTTTGCTAATAATGAACATTTTTACCAACATTATTTTCTTGTATAGGGTAAATGTATTTACATGTACTTACAATACACATGCATCGTATTCTGTGCCTTTGCCAAATTACTTTGTCCAGGTATTGCAGTTTCACAGTATATTGTTTTGTTGTTGTCCGTTCGGTTGACAGTAACAGTTACAATGCTTGTTACAGATCTAAGATCATTCCCATGACTATGTTCTGTATGCTGTACATCAGTCAGTGTAAGAGTGTCTAACTTCCATGTTACTATAGCAATAGGTCGTGTTTGAGAGGAAGTACACTGATATCTTATTTGGTCGCCTTCTAATTTTTCTGTTGTCAGGTCTGTGATTGTAGGTGAAGTAGCTAATTCTAAAAACGGAGAAACTATTACCAAATAAGTTTGACAAAATGTTTTCATGTAATATCAATAGCATATGCACTGTATAAATTGTATCATATATAAAAACTAGGCGTATCAGAACCACGGGGGACGAACCCCTTATGGTTCTCAAAATTGAACCGCAGTAAAATATATGTGAATTTCCACTGCCCAGATGCGCTGTACAACACCAGTCCGTTTAGTGATATTGTCGCCATACGCATTGCATGCTATGGATATACCAGAACCCACGACGGAAAGAATGTCTCGGCGAAGACTGCTTAAAAATCTTGAACTTTCCCTGTGATTGACCTATTGCCTCTGACACAAATGGTGTTACAGTGCACATCTGGATCAGCGGAAATTCAATGTTGAGATCAATATGGGGTTCACCGCCGTGAGAACATCTCCGATTTTTAAATCTTGATTTTTATGTAGTATTTATACCATATTTTTGGTAGTTTTACTTCATATTAAGATATAAGAGAAGTATTGCTCTTCTTATGAAAAAATCAAAACAAAAAACAAAAACATATCAATCCTTATTCCGTTATGACAATAAAATTAATAACTTGTGTTTGCATTGGAAAGTTTGTATATCATTAAAGCTATTTATAATTGTTCCAGTTAAAGTAAACTATCTAATTAAAGAGAAAAAACATATTGATGAAACACCAACTTTTAACTTTGTAAAATTGAAGAGTGTTATGCCACTATAGGTTGAAATTAATCATTTGTACACAAGACTGTCTATGAATAAGCCGTACCTGCAACATATTAGATTTTGCCGATTTGAACTTGCTTTTGATTCATCGATAATTAAACTTTTAGATAGGATTGCATTTGTATTGCTGAACATCAATGAATATCAATTATACTTTAAAGGGACTCCACTGAGGTTTTTTGACATGACGGAACTGGAAATATCTTTAATGATTAATATTCCATTTGATATAATGTAAGACCAATAACTTGTGTCCAAAATGTCAGATCATTTGCTCACTCCGCATTTTCGCTGAAAAATTATTTTAATTGTGAAAATGAACCGAAATTAAAAAGCGTTGCAACGCTTTTAACACAAATCGAGCTAGAAATAGCACAAAAAAACGATTTTCGATTTATTTCTGAGTATAATTCTCAATTATCTTTTGCATATTTTTCTTTTTTATGTGCCCCAGCTAATTCATGTAACGAATTCAAATGTTGTGTCTTTAGGCTTTAGGACCTCGGTGGAGTCCCTTTAAATGGTACCCTTGCGATGATACAAATATAATGAAAGGTGAATCAACATTTGAATCAACCTATATATTTTAGTGAATATATTTCTTCGCTGTCAAGTTTTTTTCTAAATAAAAAATCTATAAGCTCATAAAATGGCAAAGAAAAAATTAAAAATGTAACCTTTCACATAAAGAGTGATTCTGCTAGAAAACACTTCTGGGTGTGCTGTCTGTGAAGCTTTACAATATACTTGTTTGTTATGGTCGGAATTAAGCGGAGCAAATGTTAATGTAGACAGTGTAACATTCTCCTTCTTCTTCACTTCATCTCCAATATACCAGATGATAGTAGCTGTTGGTCTACTTTTACTTGCTGTACATGTCAATGTTTTACGTACACCATTTGTTACTTCTAGTGTACATGCTAGTAAAGTGCTGCCGTCCTTTAGTGTTACATTAGTAACCTGAACTGAAATAAGAAAATAAAGACAAAATAAGCTTGATATTAGGATTCAGCTATAAACCCTTGTTAAACAAAGTATTCACATCAAAGGTTGGATTAAGTAGGTTTAGATTTTCTGTTAATCCCCAATTATTTCACAGAATAATAGTTTTATAACTTACTGCCCAAGCATTGATAGATATATTTATTCTTTGTTTGATCACCTACCCTATCGTTTACACAAATGATTTTATTCTTACTTTATGTCTCTTTATAATTATGTGATTTTACATTATTTGTACCTGTAGTTATGTTCAATTATGAAGGCATGTGACTGAACAGTTCTCAACATTTTGTTCCTCGTTGATTTTTTTCTGATTTTTTTCTTTCTATACTAAGGGGTTGCGTTCATTGAACGCCGCCCTTCCTTGTGGATCTTGTTTTTAATTTTGTTACCTTTTAACACAATGACGAAATTTAAAATCAATCATCAAATCAATCATTTGATTTAAATTACTTCGATTTTTTATTATATGTTGTTTTTGCCCACCGTATTCTTCGAGTAGCTTTCTTTGAATTTGTTTGTGTTAACGTCACACCGACACATAGGTCACATGGCGACGTTCCAGCTTTACTGGTGGTGGAAGATAACAGGTTCACATCCGTGCATTATTTCAGACTCTTTGACAAACAAGAGATATGTGATAAGGCATTCGGGGTGTTATATTTCTTTGATTATGATTTATGTTAAAAAGCTGATGTCGCCTTGCTCATTCTACAACATAAGGACAAAATTCTAATCAAACACCTCGATGGTGCGCTACAGAGAACGACCCATCTTAAATAAGTTTAAGTAAGGTTTATATAATTACCGCACCGACTCAAAATTATATTATATTACCTTACATCACTAAAAAAGAATAATATACGTTATATATAATACTCGGGATAAATTAGATACTATGATATATCAGTTAAAATGCCGATTGATGTGTTCTGTTATATTTTGTAATAATAATATTAAGTCGAGAATATAAATCATGTTTCCAAAATGTGTTCACAAAACCATTTGCATAATTGTCGCATATCAACAAGCTTTCATAGCACCATGAAATAAAATTAGCAATGATGATAAAATCGATATACTTGTTTTATTCAAATAATTTATATACATTGTGTATATAAATATCAGAAAAAATATAAAAATATTTATTTAACCAACATGTATTATTGTTTTTTAGTTGGGACGTAGTCCCAACTAGTGCACTTACAAACCCGAAATTTCCAACCATACAGGGTAACGCCCACTGCTGTGACGTTTCATCGCCACTCTATATGCTATATTGTATTCTAACATATCAACGTAAGCTGAATTCATAGTGATCACCCGACCATGACCGACGCATAACCGCCGCGAGTGAAAAATAGTGCTCTGAATTTCTGAAAACTTCGATTTATTGCGAACAGAAGAGGAGACAAGAAATTTATTTTTTGAAAATAATGTGCAATTGAGCTTGAATGACGGTATTAGAAACGTAGCGGATATAATTTGAAAGGTCACATAATTCTATGAATGGGATAGTAAATTAATTGGGTCATAGTGCTTGACGGCTTGCAATATTTAACTTACTCATCTGCCTTATCATCACATTTTTTTTGTATTATATTCCAGAAATTTTTGAAAAAGACATTATTTATCGGATAAATTTTGTAGTTTATAATTGCAAAGTGGATATTGAAATAGAATTAGCCAGAGATGTAGATAATCTATTCGTCTCTGAATTAGCCGATAATTAGGTTAAATGAATCCAACAACTTCCGGTATATTTTTTGACCTACTTCACAAGCATAATTATCAGCCTGTTAAGCTCATAAGGTAAGTTATAAAGCAAAATATGTTATGAATTTGATGAATAATAATATTAAGTTTATTTATTGATGCCAATTTGTTTCCGAGGACTAAAACTTTCTTAAAGAATTTCGAAGTAATTTGGAGATCTCGAGTCTTTCGTACCCAAGACATTTCGACCATACTTAGACTGCAAATCGACAGATTTTACAAATTGATATTACACAGATGTCTGCCTTTACAGGAAAACCGGCATATACGCCTACAATTTTTTCATTGTCTTAATTGTCACGGCCGTTACGTCTCTACCAAATGGGGCACATTCTTAAATATTTCAGAATAATTTTATTTTGACCTTTATAAATTATTATATATATCTATTTAAAGTCTAGCCATTTCATTTTGGGTCATCTTTTTACAATTTGAATAATTATTCTGGAAAAACGAAGTGCGCAAATGATCTAAAGGTTTGTACAAAGATTAGTGTTCTAAACATTCATCAAATGGTACATTTATCTGGAAAAAATATTTCAGTCCCATCATGACAAAATACCTCAATGGAACCCCTTTAAATTGAATTACACTTTTTTTAAATGTATGGGTAAATTCCATTTTCAGTGGTTGAAATTTTTCCTCTTTTCTCATTAATCAAGCTATAGTTTCCCATTTATACAGCCACAGGTTGTTTTGAAAGTTGAAAAAAAATCACTGCCACCTTGATAATTGTTAACCTGAAAAATCTTCAGGCAATTAAAGGGATTTGAACCCCAGACCTCTTGATTACAAGGCAGACACACAACCATGTCGCGAAAATGTCAACACAACAGCAAGACTGTTGGAAATGATCTATACTTGTTCTCAATACATGGTTGAAGTAATTTATCAGACATTTTATATGATTTAACAATTTTTGACACTACTGATATTCACATTTTTTTCACAAATCTACATGTAAAAAATAAATATCATAATAAAATGATAGAACATTTTCTATTTTAGTGGTAATACTGTGGAGTAATATGAAGAAATATTATTAATATTTTATTATCATAAATTTTTCAAATTTTAATTATGTCATTACATGCTGTACACAATCATATTATTGTGTGAACATATATATACATTGTATAGACACATATATACATTGTATATACACACACTAAGAGAGTAGTATTAGATGAATTTGAAAATGAAATCTCTAATTCATATTTTCAGGGAAATTAAAGATCATTTACTTTAATATTCACTTGGAAAGGCTGGTACATGTAGCTAGAAAAAAAGTACAGTATAAGATTAAAGAAAGACTAGAAGATTATTACAAACAACAGGTACTTATATAATATTTAATGTATATTTCACAAACCAAGCTGTTTTCCAAAAAAAATTAATGAAAACAATATTTGACCTAGAGTCATAAGATTGACAGAACAGTGGCGTGTGGGGGCATCCGTGTCCTACGGACACATTTCTAGTTTCACTTATATACTATGTAGAAATTTTGTGGACGCAACTCCTCTTAAACCGGATGGCAGATTTTGCTTAAACTTACAGGGATGAACAACCTTCAGGTGTAGATGGTAGTAAAGGAAAGAATTTTTGCTGCGACCAAATTTTACAGAATTTTGGCCCTTTGTCGATTTTTTCACTATATACTATGTAGAAATTTTGTGAATGCAACTCCTCTTAAACCGGATGGCAGATTTTGCTTAAACTTCCAGGGATGAACAACCTTAATGTGTAGATGGTAGTAAAGGAAGGAATTTTTGCTGCGACCAAATTATAGAGAATTATGGCCCTTTTTTGATTTTAGTTTTCAACTTGTGGCACATGTATAGTCCAAAAAATATTTGACCTAGAGTCATAAGATTGATAGAACAGTGGCTTGTGGGGGCATCCCCGTGTCCTATGGACACATTTCTAGTTTTCTTCTTAGTGTGCCTTTATTGCTAAGATCTATTTAATTGACAGACTGTTTTTAAAGTTTGAAGGATAATCTTTGAAACATTCAGATTGGTTATTAAACTAACCATTATTTACTTTATTTGTAGCCAATAAGTAATTATACCTTTAAATTGTATGCCGTCGAAACAAATTAATTGTATACTGTCTGAATTGTATACACACCAGTCTCTCACAACGCATTACTCACCCCAAATGAGGGTAAAAAAAAACTCTGACATAAAGAAGTCTGCGTAGGGATGACAATTTTATTAATAAAACACAATATATTGTTCATTGCTTTCAAGGGCTCATTGTTTTTCAGAGTTTAATATTGCAAGTGCAAATTTGATAGTTCCACTGTGTTACTATGTATTCAAATATTCAAAACTACTTTCACTTTCGGTTTTAATTTAGACTAACAATTGACGAAATACGAGTGTTGAACGAATACCAATAAAGGATTGTCAGAAGGAGTGTTTTTGCACATGTTTTGAGTAAAAATGATGTAAAGGCTATTACACCAACAGAGTATGGAAAAAGTTTAATTTTTCAAGTGACCCGATTTCCGTTTTGTTCTATCACTACGGTGTTAAAGCCGCCATGTAAAAGTAGTGCGTTCCATCATGCTTAGAGTGGTTTCACACAGGTCAGTAAAACCGGTGTACACAATGTACTGTCTGCACATATGTGTCAGAAAAAAATATCACAAAAAAGGAATTTAGTATTACTATGAGTATTTATTAAAGAAATTGTATTTCAAATATATTTAAATAGTATTATTGAAAGTCATTTTGTATGACAGACACACAAATCTAGTGCTCTGCATTATAAATGTAAGAAGAGACAAATAAGATAAGCATTTTTTGCAAATTATTGCACTTCATATAATTTTTATTGCTTTTTTTTAAGGTGGACATGTGTCACTGTCAAGCGAATGAAGATAAGCATCACACTCGGTGGGAATCTCAAGTTTCCAGATATAGTGATCATAACTGTATAGGCACCATTAACTCTTTTGACTAGTTGGAGTATTTTAGAGAGCTAGTCTGAACATTGTGTTGAAGGAAAATGTTAAAAACTCGGATTTCCCGCTTAACCAATCATTACTTTACCTTATATTCAGTGCGGTAATGTAGGAAATGGTTACTTTATGGAACGGAGCTGTCAATTATTTTTAGTTTTTTAGCTTGTTAGCGTTATCGTCGGACAGTTGTGAAGTAAAGACATCGCAGTTTGACTGTATACAAGTTGCCTTAAAGAAAGTATGTCGAAATCTTAACAGTTATTCGTTGATTTTGTAGAAATTGACCAGAATTCACCTTTGTTTACACGCATCGCTTGGACGTCGAAAACGACATGCAATGACATTTCAGTGAAATTTGGAAACTTGCTCGTATTTTGGAGCATTTTGTAGGATTTCGATGAAGTAAAAAAGTGTTTATGATAGGATACATTATTCCTGGAGACAACCACAAAAATAAAATAGTGATCTGGTGTATTTTTACCAACAGTTCTTGTTTGTTTTGCATGATATTTTTCTCTCGTTAGGGACCTTTATTCTTTATATATAGTATTATGAGCGTATATAAACCTGAGAATTGAAACTATGAGAATAAATTGTTGTTATTAGTCCCCTTATATTTTCATTAAGAGGGGACTAAAGGCTGACCCCATTTCTGTATGTCAATGAAAGCTGAATTTTGCTATAACTTAAATGGTACAAAAGTATGGTTTCATCATACTGGTATCTGATATAGAACTATACAGAGATTTAGCATGTTATTATAATTTATGCTCCTGAAAGGGAGAGAATAAAGTTGCGGTCTTAACCATCTGTCGGTATGGACTCAAGTAATATTATGGATAAATATCTGTGTTCATTCCATACAGACTTGTACTTTTGGGAAAAAAGTTTGCTCATGGGAGGAAAATATGTTTTTAATGGTGATTTTGAGATTTTAGTTTGATAAAGGAAAAAAAACATAGTCTGAACTTAGGAAGACATTTGTCCTTCACACTCTTGTCCGAAATATGAATATAACTAGATATGTATTGAAGGGATTTTATGTAAACTTCACAAAGTGATAGAGACTTTTAAGAGGAAGTGCAATGTTCAAGAAACATAACTCTACCTTGCTTCATGTTTTAATTATATCCCTTAAGTTAAAAATGCTTATTCCAAAACTATCACTGAATCTACATCAACTTGAACGACTCAAATTTTCCAATGTGTCAAAGAACCATAACTCCATTCCTTAGTTTTTAGCTCACCTGTCACAAAGTGACAGGTCGAGCTTTTGTGATCCCTTTTCGTCCGACCGTAAACTTTTACTTTAAATGACATCTCCTCATAAACCACTAAGCTAATTTCATCCAAACTTCACAAGAATGTTCCTTTGGCTGTCACCTTTAAAAATTGTGCAAAGAATTTAATTCCATGCTGAACTCTGGTTGCCATGGGAACCGAAAGAAAAAAACTTTAAATATCATCTTTAAAAAAACCCTAAGAGCTAGAGCTTAGATATTTGGCTTGAAACATCCTTTAGTGAGTGTCTACCAAGTTTGTTTAAATAAAAGCCCTTGGGTCAAAAATTGGCCCCGCCCCAGGGGTCATTGATTTTCCCTATGTGCATATAGTAAAAACTTTATAAAATCTTCTTTTAAAGAACCCAAAGAGCTAGAGCTAAGATATTAAGCATGAAACATCATCTAATGAGTGTTTACCAAGTTTGTTCAAATAAAAATCGCGGGGTCAAAATTGGTCCTGCCCCAGGGGGTCATTAATTTTCTTTAAATTCATATAGTAAAAACTTAAAAAAAATCTTCTTTTAAGGAACTAAAAGAGCTAGAGCTAAGATATTTTAGCATGAAATATCTTCTAGTGAGTGTTTACAAAGATTGTGAAAATAAAAGCCCTGGGGTCAAAATTGGTCCTGCCCCAGGGGGTCATTAATTTTCTTTAAATGCAAATAGTAAAAACTTAAAAAATCTTCTTTTAAAGAACCCAAAGAGCTAGAGCTAAGATATTTAGCATGAACATCTTCTAATGAGTGTCTACCAAGTTTGTTCAAATAAAAGCCCCGAGGACAAAATTGGCCCTGCCCAAGGGGATCATTGATTTTCCATATATGCATATAGTAAAAACTTCAAAAATCTTTTTTAAAGAACCCAAATAGCTAGAGTTTATATTATAAGTTGAAACATCTTCTAGTGAGTGTCTACAAAGTTTGTTCAAATAAAAGCCCTGGGGTCAAAACTGGCCCTGCTCCAGGGTTGTCATTGTTTTTAACAGTATGTGTTAGTAAAAACTTAAACAATCTTCTTTTAAAAAAACCCAATAAGCTAGAGCTTTGATGTTAAGCATGAATCATCTTCTTATGGATGTCTTCCAAGTTTGTTCAAATAAAAGCCCTTGGGTTAAAACTGGCCCGGCAGGGTGGGGGGGTATATACAGGTGAGCAACCTCAGAGCCATCATGGCCCTCTTATTTAATTATTTACCTTTATTATACATGTACTTAATTATGCTTGTCCAGAGAAATACTGGAAAAGAGTTGATGAAATTTGATTAAACTTTTACACAGCGAAAATAATCAAGTGAAAGAAAGTGTTTTTTTCAAATAACCCTAATTTTTTGTGTCGCCTTGAAAAGGTGACATATAGGGGTTACTTTTGTCGGCGGCGTCTGTGTCGTTGTCGGCGTCCCGGAGCATAACTCAGTCACTATAAGTCTGATTGACTTCAAACTTGGTATGCATGCTTCTTTTAATAACCCGAAGTGCAGTGCACAAGGACCGGTACTCTGCAGTTCTTATTTTTTGAGTTATTGCCCTTTGTAAATTTTCATACTTTAATTTTGTCCGTGCCATTTCTCTTCAACTAAAAAAGCTATGGACTTGATACTTCATAGGATGATAGATCTCATTAAGAAGAAGTGCAGTGCACAAGAACCAGTACTCTGTACTTCCTAATTTTTGAGTTATTGCCCTTTGTTAATTTTCATACTTTATTTTTGTCCAGGCCATTTCTTCTAATGAATAAAAGCCATGGACTTGAAACTTCATAGGATGATAGGTCTCATTAAGAAGAAGTGCAGTGCATAAGAACTGTTACTCTGCATTCCTTATTTTTTGAGTTATTGCCCTTTGTTTATTTTCATACTTTAATTTTGTCCGGGCCATTTCTCCTTAAGTATAAAAGCTATGGACTTGAAACTTCATAGGATGATAGATCTCATTAAGAAGAAGTGCAGTGCACAAGAACTGGTACTCTGCATTTCTTATTTTTTGAGTAATGCCCTTTGTTGATTTTCTTTCTTTATTTTTGTCCTGGTCATTTCTCCTCAAGTATGAAAGCTATGGACTTGAACCATCATAGAATGATAGATCTTATTGATAAGAAGTGCAGTGTTCAGAAACTGCTGCTCTGCACTTATTATTTTTTTAGTTATTGCCCTTTGTTATTTTTCATGTTTCATTTTTGTCCCTGGCCATTTCTCCTAAACTACATTGTTCACAAGGCGACACAATCCGATTCGCGGAGTTCTAGTTTCTAGCTTAATTTTACAATTATCATCTCTTAAAATACATGTACAACAACTTTTAAAATAATGGTTGTCTGGAGTAAATCTTTTCAATGATATCACACTCAAACTAAATACAGTTGTAGAGACTATATAGTGAGCAGAAGTCTTTTGTCAAATAACCAAAATTCTACATTACTTAGTTTTTGAATTATCTCCGTATATATTTCATGATACTGTTCAGAGAGAGGATTAAAATATTGAAGGAATTTGATTGAAACTTAATAAACGTTATACAGTGAAGAGATTAGCATGAGAATTGCAGTAAACAAAGGCCATTATAAGTTCTAATGACATGGTCACATTCATATAATGTGATGCAAAAAAATATTGACCATTTGAGTGTTTACTTGATACTGATACAGAAAATTTGATATATATCACAATTGATTATTTTTTCATAGCTTTGTCTCCCTTTATAATGTCATGTGTTATAATAGTCAAGCTTGCAGTTTCCTCTGGTAGCTCTAATTTCACTTGTTGCTCTTGTCAAAAAAGGCCAATAACGGTTTATGATGGACCTACACGTACATGTAACCTAAATATTATATTTAACATGTGTGTCATAGAATAATTGTATCATCTACTGTTCATTTACTGAATTGTGCACTTTATATTTATCAACCGGCAACACCCTTCACTCATTGAATTATCTGCCCCGAAATAGAAAAAATAGTTATTTGATCCTTCATACGTCCCAACTGCAGTGCCTTCAGCACTTTGATTTTTTGTCGCAACCGATACATGATTTATACCTTGCATGCAAGAAAATTCTTAGATTATGAAATAGAAACAACCAAATAGAAATATGTCAATATATTTAAGGTACAGTTCGAATGTTTTATATCAAATACTTTGCAATTTGTGTAAACTTTCAGAACGATTAAATATTAGAGGAAGTCGAAAAATAATAATTTTATTTCACTTTATGATGATGTGTAGCTGCATTATTGTTTTGTCTATTGTCTTTGTTGAAGTCATCATACCGTGATTTTGTATCATATTCCTTTAAATCAATACTTTGACAATTTATCAAGAAATATGATTTGCATGTATTCAACTAAAACTTTAATAGAGTTGGCTTAGTTACCATTACAAGACATATTTTATAAAACGCATTGGGTAATCAAAAGTGAATGAACCGAGAGAGATGAGCGGCATAAATGCATACATTTAATAAATCCTCGAAAAAAAAAACTCCAACAAACTAAAACTGAAGTACATTGTTGAAATATAACCTAAAGTTTACGGAATAGACATACCTTGTATATATATGACCACTGAGTTACTGTTAATTACTTTTGGTAATAGTGTTTCAACAACACATTGGTATTTGTCTCCCTCATTTTGTTTAGTAACTTTCTTTATTGTCCATTCATATTGTTTACTACTAGGACATCTATACTCATATAAACTGGTGTCTACCGGAAATATGAGAGTATTGCATTCTGCATCTATTATTCCAAGGTTAGCAAAGGTACTTTCACTTGTCCTGACTCTCTTCCATGCAAAAACACTAACAGTTTCATCACCAGTGTATGTACATGTTAATGTAAGGGAACTATTCTCTAGCACACCAGGTGATGATGGCGATAATACCACTTCCGCAAACACAACAGCTGAAATAAATTTAACAACATTTTCAATCGTATGTAAAAGTGTATTGTTTTGAAAAGTTTACGAACCGTTTTATTTGTTTAATTTATGTAAATGGACATTATAAGATTTTAAGTCATGACATAAGTTATTCGTGATCATATTAATATCCATATTTAATAGCTATTAATATTAAGTACATTTAGTGCTTGTATGTATTAAATAAAATAATCTAAAATATTTACCTGAGAGTGCTGAGACAACTCCATATATAAAAGCTATTATTTGAGAGGACATCATTGATTTGTCTCCATATGACATTTTTTTAAACCACACTTGACACAACTAATAAATCCTTCTTTCAGATAATCGTGTATATAAGTACACATGCATATGTTAATGAATGTCCCAAATATATTTTGCTTCCTGTAAAACTGCGATAGCTAGAAGTAAAGTGTAGGTGATATAAATACATTTACTTCAACATGGGTGGGGGTTCTCTGCTTGCAGTGAATATGTATATGTTTATACAGACGTTTCTTTATAAACTGCGGTGGAAAATACTTAATGCAAGTTTAACGAAAAATTAGGCAGCTACATATTAATACTACTCTTGTAAATCAGCTATTTAAATATTTGTTCAAGTGACAACCATGTATTTTAAATTTTCACAATTTAACTTCCTGATCTCAAAGTGATAAAATACGAACGCTAGCTGTCATAACCACATAGAGTATCGTTGATAGAAATGTTAAGTACAAGTGTATGTTTAGTATTTTTAGGAGTTGTGATTATTCATATAGGTAAGTCAATTTTCACATCATTTATAAGGTAAAACGATAAAATATATTGCATTTCAAAATTAAATTTTTTACAAAAGTTGAAATTAGGCTTAGTTGGTAAATATCTCTTAAAGATAGGAAAACGTATGCACGCCCGGCAAACTGTCGCTCCACTTCAAAATTGTGGTGTACGGTAAAACGAGCGAACGGCATTTCCAAGATCGAGCGGAAGGCCGATTTTTTGTTTATGCTTTTGTCTCGTTATTCATTTAAGTTGTATTTTTTCAAAAATGGATCAATGTAGTTCCATGTAGGATTGATTTAGGCTTCCAATGATCTAAGCTGTTATAAAAAGAAAATTATGTTAAACCCGGGAGAAACTTTTCTCCCTGACGAAGGGAACGACGATTTGTAGAATATTGAACTTCCCAACCATTGAAATGCCATACCCTTCGGATTTCTTGAAAAAGTGTATTAGAAAAATATCAACCCGTAACAACAGTTAGTCCGAAAGTAGTGGATTCAAAGGGCAAGATGGAGCGAAAGGTCTGTCGTTGGGCGCAAGGCGATATTAAATTGGCGTAAAGAGCGTAGTCTACGAATTTCTATAAATAAAATCTTTCGAAGCTAGAATAGACGTTCTAAAATGTGAAGCCTGAAAAATATGATAATATATTAATTTATTTCTACTATAACTAGGTCTACCAATTACTGATAATTTTAGTTCGTACACCGACCGAGCACTGCCTTTTTTATTACTTTCGTTTTGTTCATAGATTCTCTGTGTATAAAGAAACAACATTTTACAGATATTTTTTATCTTAAATTTTTAAATGTTTATTAATTAAACCAAGAATTTTTACTGCAATATTATTATTAAAGCACGGATTTATATTACAGGGATCGGACACTCCCAGTTAACCCTATATAAATGCTTAAATAATTTGTCGCGCACCCGATAAAGGTACACCGATCGATAATTTACCGGCGCTAAGCGAAAATGCCCGTTCGCAACGGATACCTACTTTACAAAATACCATATAGCTTTTCCATTTATTATCAGATTTCGAAAAATGCTTGTTTAATTCAAATATCTAATTTTTTAAAGATACAGACTATCTGTCTGCAACGATGATTAAAAAATAACTTGACGAAATCCGCGGCAAATTTACATTTTTTATATAAAAAGCAGGTATTTGAATTTTTTTATTATGGTAACATAATAAGTCTATTTTCAAAATAAAAAAGAAGCCGATGTAAGTTATTCACAGATGATTTAAGATTTATTCGGTTATGTAGTCAAATTAATTGACGCACAATTGTTTTACGGGTAATGTATTGCGGGCTTTACAATTCGATCAACACGTGAAGTAAATTTATTCTTTTTTTAATACAAGATATTGCTGATATTGTCAATATTGCCATTTTCATAGAATATTTAAATTTCCTTCATCATTTATATCATCATTATTTTTTTGTAAATCTGTTTTCAAATGTCGGTGCTGTGAAGTAGACAATCATCGTAACAGTAAAATACTCTCGTGTCCGGCCTTTTTAATGTCACTCGTATATATGTTTTTTGAATGCCTGTAGAAAGATATTTCTGATATTTTTTAATGTAACGCTAGAAAACAATAAAAATCTTTACAGTTTGAGTCAGTATTATGCGAAATAAAAGTAACTGTTAATTCTTTTTTACACATCGCTTAAATTTCTTTGAAGTTTAATTACTTTTGAAGGGGGTTAATTACCAGGTAACAAGTGATAATTGAAAAAACATTATTTTCAAACTTTCATAATCATGTTACATGTGATAATTGTAACACTCAATCTTCAAAAACAAATAGAATTTGAATGTATAATTTTGTATGTGCGCAGAAAATGATTCTGAAGAGAATATATATAAATACAAATTGATGTAAATCTATTTTCTTTATTAACATTTATAAATGAAATTGAAAATATACAACTAAATTTGTATAGCCTTTCTTTGAAAAATAATGAAAATAAACGTATGACAAATAAATCATTTGACGTGAAGGATAACTATGAAAGAAAATCTGTTTCAAAATAAAAAATAATATTATAAAACAGTTTGTCTGTATGCCAATAAAAGTTTCTTCCTTGCCAATCTTTAATGAATTCATCTATATATGAACGCTTGTCTTGAATGATCTGAAAATATATTTAATACACTAATTAGTAGAATATTTACTATATTTTTTACTAATATTCAGGTTATCAAATAAAAAATCTACAAATCATTTGGCAATAATTCACAGAAATAAAGACAAATTTTAAACATGAATTTCTTTAAAAGTTTTTAAGCAATCAAGAAACATTTATTTGCAATGCAACCATTTAACCATGAATCGCGGTAATAATTTGTGCTTGAAGTAAAAGGGGGTCGAAGTGTAAAGAGTATGCCTAAACAATAGGCAAATATTTTTTTTTTAATTAGGTACTTTCCTAACTAAGCGTTGCAGCGTTCTATCGGCATATTTTCATACTTTAGCGGCACAAAATAATACAGTATCAATACATTCATATGTGTATAATTTTTCACAAAGCTGCAATGACACCACATACTCTTGTAAAAATCTGTCATATTTCACACTCCGCGCGTTCCGCCATCTCTGTCCACCTTTATCCGATGTGCGATTCCGCGCATGCGCGCGACAAGATTTTAAGCTAAACGATAGTGTCCGATCCTTGTAATATAAATCCGTGATTAAAGTAACACTTTAAGAGAAAAATAATAAACTAAACAACAATACTGAAAAAGGGAGGAGGTATCTTGAAACATAACTGAAACACGTGTTATATCCTTAGAACGACTGACACCTTTTCAACCATTTTCATAGAGAGTCCCCACCTTACATATTCATAAAAACGTGGCTTATTTGTGTTTGATCTAGAGCTATTAATTACAGAAAGTCATACTAAAATGAACTTGGTAGTAGTGATCCATTTAATTTGCCCCGTGCATTGCATAATTTTGTCTCTGTTCTGGACCTTGAATATCTAACTTTTCGAAAAACATAATATTTTGGCGAGAACAATCGCGTGACACGTACCTGCTCGAAAACATTTGTTCGCGGTAGAACTGAAAATATTTGATTTAATCGGATTTGCAGGGGCACACGTTTTTAAATGTACATAACCGTGTAAAAAAAATCATGATTGAGCTCGAATAAGTGGTATTCTGTATTACGCCATGCATAAGATTCAATGATCGGGCATCATCCAAATTTGGAACATAAATAATTTAATCTATACGGCAGCCATTGGTAACACCTTCGCGATTACATTTATTACGTAATAGTCGTTGATAGGATATCACGCTTTATTATGTGTCTTTAAAAGGTTTATATATCTCGGTCTCAACACTTGATCATGTCTATTTTAACTTCTTTAGCTTTTAAACATAAAAATCATAGACTACGCTCCTTCTTATACGTCAAAGTAATATCGCCTTGCGCTCAACATCGAACCTTTCGCTCCATCATTTGCCCTTTGGCTCCACTACTTTCGAACAATATCGATTTACAAATTTAAGAAATCCTTCAGGAGTAATTAATGTTGAACGAAGGACAAGTTCTTATTACGGGTTGATATTTTTCTAATACACTTTTTCAAGAAATCTGAAGGGTATGACATTTCAATGGTTGGGAAGTTCAATATTCTACAAATCATCGTTCGATTCGTCAGGGAGAAAAGTTCTCCCGGGCTTAATATAATTTTCTTTTTGTAACAGCTTAGATCATTGGAAGCTTAAATCATTCCTACATGGAACTACACTTTCCGTTTTTCGAAAAAAATACAACTTAAATGAATAACAAGACAAAAACATAAACATTACTTACAATGAGATGTTTAAATCGGCCTTCCACTCTACCTCGGAAATGCCGTTCGCTCGTTTTACCGTACACCACAATTTTGAAGTGGAGCGACAGTTTGTCGGGCGTGGTATGTTTAGTCACTCACAAATGATATGGAAATAAATAGTTATATGAAAATTTTACTATTAATTGAAGATTTGAAGATTCCTTCTGAAAATCACAAGCAGAAAATGTATAGATCCGACGAGAACATTTATTCAACCGAGAATATTCACAAATTAACAAATTCAACATATCTATCGGGTAACAAATCTAAATCAACAATCAGAACAATGTCCTCACATTACCTTGTAAATCATATAAGGTCCGACTGAACGTTTAGTCATATAATAAAAATAACGTAATTTATTCTTCAAATGCTTGCTATTTTTACTTGCTATAATTACAGGTCTCTTTGATGTGACATGTAGTGTTGTATTATCAGCATCTCCTGCTATAGCGATTGACGGAGAATCCGTTACATTAACATGTACATATAGTGGCAGTGAAGGTGTGACTGGGTTTGCATGGTTTTTAAATGGTAAAACAGTTGCTGTTTTTGTGTTACCAGAATGTAGACCGTTTGCCAGACCTGGTCCCCCTGATCCATTATTTTTTGAATATGCCTGCCTATCAAACAACCAATCGTCATTTACAGTGAAACGTATTTCACTAAAACAGAATGGTGAAAGATGGCAATGTGCAGCTGCTGCTCCTGGATATTTATACAGTTCTAATGTGACTATAACTGTCGAAGGTATTTTTATATATTTATTTAATGTGAAGTTATGTTCATTAAACTCATATATATCTTACAACTATTTTTCATTTTTCCTTTATGATCATTTTTATTATAACTTGTGTGTTCAGAAAATCGTTAAAGCTTTAAAATATCATAAATGAATTACAGAATAACGCATTACCTATTCACAGTGGCTGTTACCAATGTAAGTCTACAGTCACCAAGCGGCTCAATTACAGAACATATTAAAACAACGTTTTCCTGCAAGACCTCACTATCAAAGCCTGCAGCAAATATGATCTGGTACAAGGAGTCTGGTAGCGGTCAAAGACAGATGATAACAAATGAAATAGTTTCTGCAACAATGAATGTAGGTGATCTTCAGATGTCAACAAGTATATTAAAATATAGCCCAACTAGGAGTGACAATGGATATGAAATCTTTTGCACAGCTATTAATATTGATGGAAGAACACCAATTACCTCAGCCAAGTTTAAAATGCTTGTTCAATGTAAGTCATGTGTCAGTTAATATATTTTCTTTTGTCTTAGAATCACATTTCTTTGCAAAAGGTAGTTGTTTATATTTAGATATTTTCAAAACTAAATTGCACAATATATTTTTATATAATAAAATGTGTTCCGGTTCACCATATGTACTTTTAATAAACCATAAGTGTGACTTTAGAATTTAATTAGAATAAACAAGTAATTTGAAAGAATTGACAAATTAGAACTTAACACAAAACTTGCGTATCAGTGAAAGCAGTGTAATGTGTTATCGCTGCGTTCGATCGACTGATATGCTAAATGATTCAATTTCCTGCAATATTCCATTGTAGTAAGATTCCGTGTAGCTTATGAACTCATTTATAATTAAAATCTAAATTTTAGATGTTTACTATTTAGACGAATTCTCTTTCTTAACATGATGTAGATATTTATTGTAGATATGGCTGTTGTAACATTATTTACGGTCAAAGAAATTCAAAGTCAGGATCCACTTATATCATCGATTGTAAATGAAAGTGCAAATGTGATATTGGAATGTACTGTTGACAGTAATCCAAGTTCTAGTATTGAAATAATTTCAAAGACAGACCGCTATCGAAGACTGACAATGCAAAAAAGTTTAAATCACACACTTGTTGAGGTTTCCTGTCTTGATACAGGTGTTTATACCTGTACCGCAGAAAATCAATATAAAGAGTTCCAAAATGGCATTGACTTTGTTTGTTCGATGTTAGTATTGTTCTCATTCACGCATTCTGTTGTATTTCAATATATGTCTCTAACCGGTTTTTGTCAGTGAACACTTTTAAAACGATGTAGTTAAACGTTTCGTTAAATAGCAGATCCAATATAAAAACAAATCTAGGTCCAGCGTATTTACAAAAGAAACTAATTAAATAATTTGAAACTGAATTAAAATATGAACAGTAAATATTTTACGTTTTCATTTAGTTACTGATCGGTTTTAGTTAAGCAACGTAGCTTGATTTTTACCTGCACTTTAAATACACAATAATTTAACTAACGTTAAACAAATGTGTTCAAATATTTTCAGTTTTATATGTATTTATATGTATCTTTAAGAATATAAACAATAATATATTTTCTGTGTATAAATCGTATTGAAAGGTTTTATTTCAAACAACATACAGCCTTTGAATGTAGAAGTTTGCTTTGTTTAAGGTTTATGTTTTCTATATGTCAACAGGCTCACCACGACCACAAATTCACTATAAAGAAAATGTTAGTAGTGCTCTTGGACATGACATTACCTTGGTGTTTAAGGGTCTTGCATACCCTTCTCCATCGGAGAACACTTAATAACAGTTCCAATGTCATTATTTCAATATAAGGAACGGATTCAAATCTAACAATTAGAAATGTGTCACTATCAGATTACGGTGAATACCAACTGAAGATTGAAAATGAAATAAATTATTTCATACAACCATATTTTCTGTCTCAAGAAGGTTGTGTTTTTATTATCAAATTATTTCTTTATAAATAATTGGCAGCTCTGAAATAGCATTTCTCTTTACATGTATTATTCAAATGACTAAAGAAACATTCCTTAAGGGATTATGTATTCTGCAGTATTTGTATAAAACATATGATATAGCAGTTTTAGATAATTAATTGATAAAATGAAAAATATGATCAAACGACTGATGCTGCTACTTTTCACTACAAAATTGTACTTTAATTTGTAATCTTTATAAGAGATATCTTCTTATGTCATGTTTATTTATATAGATATACAAGATGCACTTAATGAATTTCAAGCGGTTACAGAGCATATTTCGGACACATTCGCGTTGTTTCGGTGGAAACCATGATTCAACGAGGGGCCAAAACAGTCATTTGTATTATTATATAAGAGACCATCAGAACATCATTGGATTAGTGAGACAGTTGAAGACACCCGTGAGACCCTGATGATTTATACATTGCTCGAGTTGGTCAGTGATTCGGTGTATAGAGTTGTGCTGTTGGCAAGAAACAGTGTCGGCGATTCAATAAACTCTCCAAACATGACATTTAGAACAAAAAGGCATGTTAAAACTTAAAAGTACCACTGTTTAAATTTATGTTAAAAAATACTTTTTTGACAAATATTTTGAAAGTAGCATTATTCAAGATTTTAAAACTACTTAACTGTTTTAATGAGTATAAAAACGGTCAAGTGTAAACATTAACTATTTTATCTACTTTAAAGCATTTACAAAACAATAACATATTACTTGTCAAAATGAACTTACAGGCATCTTACTTTTATATCGGCCATGGCATATGCAATTAAAAAATTATCGTCATTTTCTATATCTTAATTTGCTATGATAAATGTATTTGAAAGCAATTGTGAAACTTAATCATGGAGCTCTGCATCAGGGACCGGGTTCATAAAATAGAGGGTATTGAATTAGTGTAGGTTCAATACTGAATTAATTGAACGAGTTGAATAAATTTGTATTATACGAGCCTTTTGCGAGCATAATATTATTTCATTGGACGAGTTCTATAAATTTAGTAATGAACCTACAAGAATATAATGGTGTATTTATCATATACCTAAATAAAACATTTTTTCGTTAAAACATTCATATTTTCATTGACGCGTAATGCAAACATTAGCGCGCTATAAAGTTACGCAAGTGACACCACGTCAAGATACTAGTATACACTGTAAATTTAAATATCAGACCGTTTTGTTGATTGTTTTTTTTCTCAGAAACTAGAAAATGTGTAGGAAAGGAAACAAATTCTGCAGTAAGCGGAGGAATGATCGGAGGAATTGTTGGTGGCATCGTTTTATGTTTTGTTGTTGTCGCAGTGGCATGCTTTCTGTTCCGTAGGCAAACAATTTGCAGCAAAGGTACCCCATATATTTAAGTGTTCGTTACCTAACTTTTGTCATAAATGTCTTAAATACAAGTTGTTCTAGTAGAAAAATGGAAAGTTTTTTTTAGTAATTGGTGTTGTTAGAAATCATGCCCTAAAAAAAATTTGTATTGTTACATTGAAGTTTTTAAAAATATATTTATTAAATAAGAACCTCCTTATGAAGAACGTGTCCACATTTTATGACAGTGTTCAACCGTTAATTACGTATCTTATGATTTTAGGACATCTAAAGAAAACACCTGACAAGGCAATAACACGGTAATTTATATTTCTTTTCTCTATTGCTGCAATGTCTCTTTATCCGAATCGCAATTATTTATTTTGCCTGTGTTTAAATCGTCACTCAAGTCGGTATTATAATAATATTTTATGCTATTTCAAATTATTTGACATGTTTGTTTTCTAATTGTTTTCAGTGAACATGAATATGTTGATCTAAAACAAACACAAAACGTTAACATCAATCCTGTATATGATGACCTGCAAACTGATTCAGGTAATGATTATGTAATGAACAACATAGATACATAATCATAAACAAATTTCAGTAAAATTGGTGATATATTCTTTAACTAGTATGTGCAGATATGTATGTTATATTTAATAAAAACCAGTAATTATATAACCTTGACATAACAGCTCAATACACTGTGTATTAAACCTTAGCAATGATTTGTCAATCTTTAAAATGAATAATTTGTTTTGTTATGTGCTTCTTTTTACCTAAACTGTTTGGGTATTATGTTCGAATTTGTCCTTTGAAGTCATATGAATTTCTTACGTTCATGTTATGTCTTTATTTTTTCAGAAAACACGGCAATGACAAGGTAAAGTTTATATTCTGTATATTTAGTTATATTACAGTTTAAGAAAAATACCACAACTTCTAATCAATGTGTTTTAGAAATAGAATTTGCTAAAAACTCTCACTAGAAATTAGGAAAAAGGGAAAAGAAAAAGGAAAACCAAGTTAAAAATGTTCTATCGCTTCTACATCATCCTAAAGCATATACATTATTTTTCAGCAATAATATATACGTGCGCCCTGGGACAGAAGATAAGGAAAGCGAGAAACACGTGTACACAGACCTAGGTACTTTTCGTTTGCAACTGTTTATCAAAATGATAGAGGTTTTACTTTTTCGGAATGAAGAGTATCGAAGAGTAATTAAATTGTTCTTTTTTTCTGAAAGATTAGTGTTTGGAAGTTAAATTGATTGTTTCATTATTATATGTCTTTGAAATTGGTTTACGTCCTGTTTACAGGACAAAATACCATGGCTAATGTTGGAATTTTTATTTCAAATAGTTAGTATACCATAATCACTTTGGTTTGTACATAGGACTTTTAAGAATTTAAAAATGCTTAAAATATGGTTATAATGTCGAGTTGAAGACAGAACAATGATTTATATACTTATCTATCTTCTTTTCCCCATTTTGCCCTCAATGTTAATAAAGCCTGTTTATTTGACATGACACACTACGAGTAGATATTAAATGCATTTTTGAACAACGTCACCAAAAAGAAGGTTTATTTACTAATCTTTCACTACGCTTAATTTCTAAAAAGCAAACACTGTTCATAATTTGTAGAACAATTTCAAATTCTTGACTGACCTTTTCTTTTTTTGTTTGGGGTCCGTCTGGGCTCCTGGCCACTGGTTCTTGTTGCTGGGTTGTATGGGGGTTGTGTTCATTGAACGCCGCCTTTCCTTGTTGATCTTGTTTATCATATTTTATTGATCTGCACTTCCCGCATAGGACGATTTAGTAGCCGCCTACAGGGAAAATGTCGAGGTATACTCAAAATGTGTTCGTAGTTGTTATCTGATTGAATTTCATATCAAAATTTTAAGTAACATTTTATCTGTTTTTCAGAAAGACAAACAGAACACAGTGAAGAAAACAAGATGTATGCAAATGTTAAGATATAAAAATAAAACCTGAAGAATTAATTATCAAGCGAGCGTATCAAAATACTTATGACGTTCTTACATACTGATAAAGTTACTCTAGACTTGTGTATAATGTGAGAAAAGAGAAAAAACAATTTAAATGGAAGTGTAGATAATAGGGGACAAAAGATTCAATAAGTTCTAAGGCGGCTTCTGCAGATGTTTATGCAGGACAAAGGATGTTATTTTTGCATAAAACATTATGTATTAATGAACACTTGATTTATAACACTTTTGAAAAATTTTGGTGACGTGGTTTATATCGACACAGAATCTGTTTCATGATATAGTTTTTTCACCCCAACACAATTTCAACATGCACGCAAGAATATTATGTCAAAAATGAGACCGTGCGAAAGAATTCAAGATGGGGGGGTGTCATCAGACATTCATACATACCCAGGCAACGAATGTGCACACAAATGCCGACATTTATGTTTGCAAAAATGAACAAATAATGAGAAATCATTTTTGAACACATTAAAGAATCATCTTATTTCCAAAAGAAATGTAGACATAAAATTTAAATACTGCGTGGACCCTTCAATAAATATGACAGTATTTCTTTAATCCACAAACCACGAAATAATAAATGAACATTAAATTATTATTGTACGATATTACTGATCTGTCAATTATGCGCACATTGTACTAATAAGCTTCGGAAATATTCATCTTCTTTACGAGAATCATTTCGTGAATAATTGGTCTTTACGAGAGTCATTGGATAGGTTCTTGGGCGGTGTTATAAATGTGAATAGTCAGGCACGTTTGACGCAAAAATTACAAAAAGTAAAACATGGA